GCCATATCAACGAGGAAAAGCGTCGAAATTCTCTCCAGCAACCGATCCAAATCCTTCAATTACTCTGACTCTTACAATTGTAACAAGGTCTGATCAATTCCTATCATTATATATATCTCTAGCATCAATTTGGGGATGATTTGTACCTCTTTAGCATAAATTGTGTATTCACACTCAGTTTTGGGGGATTAGGTTTACAACCCAAATGATCCATTTTGTCTGCCAATCTCTTTGAAATCACTACCAAGTTGGGATTTTTATGGTTCTTTGAAACTTGAATTGTTTGAGCAAAGCATCGGTTTTGGTTGGTTTAAGTTTTTAGTTTAAACAATCTTCAGGCGGTTACCGCAGTTAGAGTGTTGAAAGGAGGAGAAATGGATGCTATTAAAACTTGAAGGAGGATCAGTTTCTTGAATGGATGCTATTAAACGATGTTCAGGTGATAATATTTTATCTACTCATACTTATTATTAGCAATGGCCAGTTCATAAGCCAAAATCAAGATACAATAGACCAGAAAGAAGATTTAACTTTTCTAGTTTAAACCTCAAACACTGGACATTGTATCCATAGTCAGTTTGAGGAATGTTTTGGTTGGCAATGTTCATTGTCTTCAGAAGCATTTGGAGCACAAAGTGGTGATGGTATTGGACATTTTGTTTGTGTCTGGTAAATAAGGTTGTAGCGCCATTACAACATAGATCAAATGTTGGCAATGAAGTAGCTTCTAACATTGGACATTGATGTTTGGATATGGAATATAAGGCTCGACCAGAAGAAAGCTAGACCTCATTCTCAGGCAGTGAGGTTTATGTCACTCTGTTACTGATTCTAGTGTGTATTTGATTCGTTGAGGGATGCATGATCCTTGTAGTACATGGCATTGTTCTCTTTGTGGAACACTATGAAAGTCGAAACGAAATGTGTATTAGTTGGTTTTTTATATAATTTGAAAAAGAGAGATATTTGTATTAATGCAAAATTAAAAGCCAATCTGTCTATTTATTTGGATGTTTGTCATAAACAGACTATTACTTTTGTCACAAACAAATCATAATTTTTTTTCTTAAGAACCCTTTTGAGTTCTAACCAATGGAAGAATTTTTTTTTTTAAAAACAATTATGGGGTTCTAAACTAACTTTATTGTTGGTTTAATATTAAAAAATTGTTAAAAATTCTTAATTGGATTTTTACCAATGTACATGCTCTAAAAATATCTCAATATTCCTCTAGTCTCTAGAAGTTCTTCAGAACTTACCGGCTTTTGGCTCTGGAAGTATTACCTTGTCTTCCGGCTTTTGGCTCGGAAGAAATGTGTCCTTGCCACTGTGTGTGTAATTTTGGTTATAAATTTTAATCAAATCTACCGGATGACAAAAAAAAAAAAATCACCCTTTAACAATGCTGAAAGTTATTGTAGACACACACAGTACATTCCATTGCGTGTGGTTAAAAAATAATAATTACATCCCCGTTAAAGGAGAAGAGGAAGTTTAGCAAAGCGAGACGAAAAGACAGAGTAAAAGGGAGCAAATTATCAATAGCTACAAAGATGGTAACATTTGTGAAAATTTACAATCGGTTGGGTTTCCATACTTAATGGATATTAAAATGCCAAAGGCGGTAACATGCATAAGAAAATCCGATACCGAATGTTTAGGTGGAAACTCTTTTCTATTAGTGTTTATCAAAAAAAAATATATATATATCTTTTCTATTTTTCTGCCAAAAATCAAAATGGATTAGGTCTAGATAGGGTAACAAGAATTAGAGTTATTTCCTTTATCTCGTTGTATAAAATATTAAAGTTTTTTTTTTTTTTTCATTTTCTAAGAAATTTTTAGGTTTCTATGCAAATATTAATGTATTTGATGTTTTCTGACCATTTGAATCATGTTTTGTAATTAGTTGCTGAATTGTCTTAAACTAAATATAAATATTTTAATTTTTTAATAAAGTTTTGTATTTTTAGTTAAAAGTTAAAACATATGTAATATATTTCGACGAAAGCAGTACAAAAACTATTAAAATTTAATAATGTATTGGAGTTAGGCATCTTTTTTTTTTTTTTTGGTCACGAGTTAGGCATCATTCACATGTCAGTCGAGTCACTCGATTGAGAGGATGTAAACGGTATATATTACAGAATTAACCCATATTAACGGAATTGAGTGGGGTCGACCTAAACACACATGTTTAACTTGCAAAGTAAAATGACAGGATCAGTCATTTTCGGAACCTAGAATTGGGCCTAGTATAGGATACAACATGAACATGTGTCATAGAATAATCAGCGGACGTCCAAACCCAATCGCCATTGCCCACTCGTCGTGGTCATGAAATATATTTTCCAAATATTATTCCAATAGAAAAAGAACGACCGCTGATTATCCCATGCATGACTAAATTGTGAAAGAGTCTTTCTGATGGTTGTTTCTAAATGTATAAAACACACATTTGATCTAGTGGTCGACCAAAAGTAACGTTTAAATGCTAGGTTTGATATTGACTTCCAGAAAATATAAACAATATTTTTACTAGAAACTATGTAATGCAAATAAAACCGTTTGTCATGCAAATAGAGTCCTTTCGATGTGTTCTTCTGTTTAAAGATAAATTTGTTCATCGTGAATGTGTTTCAAGTAGAACCGACTGTTGTGAACACTATGCAGGTCGATCTATCCTTGTTCCACGAGGTGAGAAAATCTTTTTGGAACCATAGCATAGGGCAAAAGCGAAAAATAACTCAAAGAAGCATCAAGATTTAAGAACAAGGATTAAGCAAGATGATCGGTAGATCGGCCAGTCTTGAAAAAAAACGACGAAGAAGATGGATTGCACCTTCGGTCACTATTCCGCTCAATCGTACGATCAACTCATAAAACAACTCCAAGGAAACCATCTAGTCATGTGCTCGACTAATCGAGCCAAATTAACACATCAACCTCATCGATCGATCAAGTCAAAGATATGACACACACACATCACAACCAACTATCAAACCAAGACTAACTAAGCCAAACCAATCTTCAATTGATCCAACCACGTAAACCAGCTTCACCATACCACAATCTAGATCAAGATTATTTTTCTTTTGTCACACTTCGACTGATATTATGTTGGACACGGTTTTGGATGTCTAGTTGCAAATCTCGACAGAAGAGCCAATACCTTCCCCAAACGGTAGAGACCAAAGGATGTGAAGCCTGACCACCATAGAGGACCAATGTATGGCGGAGCTTTCCAAGCAAGGCTTAGAAAGGTGCGAGACCACAAGGATAGAACTAGTAAGATCGAGGCTAATAGACGCCGCTCCTTGCCGATCGAGACTAGATCCATCGCCAGAAACGTTAGGGTAGAGGTGGATCTACAAAGTAGATCTGAGCCGGACGAACACCGTGTGGCTAGTGAAGGGTTGTAGCTATTCCCAGCGGACGACCACTGTGCTGTCGACAAGCAGAGCAGCCACGACTGAGAAACCCAAACACCCAGGCGTGGCCGACACGAACGGAGACTCTCTGACCCACTCGCCATGAGACACAACTCAAATCAGGAGAAGAAAGAAAGCTCTGAAACCGCAGAACCAGAAGGAGGAGGAGAAGGAGGTCTCCCTCTCACGGCGTCAGTCGTAACCGACCACCGGTGTAGTCTCTGTCCTCGCCAAAAGTCCGATGTTATCCTCCGAGGTCAGTGGTTCTGTGATTTCCAGTCTCGAATAAGATTGCTCTTGTTCGGTGCTGGAGCCCCGGTCTATTTTCCCTCCTCTTTGGATTAGCTCAGGTTAGAGCTCTTGTGTGTTTGTACCGGTTTCTGATCTGGTTTGGAACTTGTTGATTTGGCTCGCTATCTTCGAATCCAAATTGTGGACATCGGTTTAGTTCTTCTAGTGTGCGGTCTAGTGGCTATACAAGTGTGGCTCCCGGTCCTAGTAATGACCTGGTCCTTCATATGGTGCTTACGGTGGTGTTAGCATAGTTATGGTTCAACCTTCGGTGGAGGTTATCGATCCGTAGCTTTTGTTTGACTTCATCGTTTTCAAGTTTTGAGAGTTGGCGTCTAAACCAGTTGTTGTTCGTGTCTTCTTCCTGATGATGGTCGTGTTAATGGCGTTTTCTTGTCTAACTCAATTGTTTGTCTTCCTTTACTCTGTGAATTAGAGGACATAGTAAGACTATTGATGGGCGGTGTAGTTTCTAGTGTTTATTTGGCTATGTACTAGCCAACGTTTTTGGTAGGGTAAGCTGGCACCGCTCATCGTTAATGGTGCGAGGTTTCTTTTTGTTGTTAGCTCATGAAACTTTTCCGAGGCGTATCTCACTTGATGCAAGAAGAGTCAGTGATCGAAGACTTGCGGAGTTAGCCGTTGACGACCCAACTTGGGCCTCTTTAGAAGGGCTTCTTCTGCTAAGGGTTTAGGTTTTGTTTGGCTTCTGGTTTCATTTCGAATCGTCATTACTCCATCTGATTTTCGAAGAACAAATAACATCGCCATCACTTCGTCGTACTCCATAAATTCGGATTTATGTCGAGTGGACGGACTGAAAATCGTTTGTGAATTATGTTTTCCATGTTTTTATTTTTTTTTGCCATGAAAACATATCATTAGGTTAATAATTTAGTTTGTAAATCTGAAACTTTTTCATTTTTATTAATGAAATATTTACCATTTAGCAAAAAAAAAAAGTTGCAAATCTCAAGTTTTGGAATTTGATGTAGTGTATTTTTAAGATATATTTTTTTTGGGAGATTCTGAAAAATACACTTTTTTATTTGTTTTTGAAAAATAACCTTTTACATATGTAATAATACTTTTTTGTCCTAATTTTAATTAAAACTACATTTTTCCATTAAAAAGATTCGAAA